GGACTGGTCCCCCCCCGCCCGGCACCGTCAGGCGAAGTTTCTCCTCCCGCCCGCGCGGCATCCGTTCACGCACCGGGTTCCCACCGCCTGTTCCGGGCGACGCATTCCACGAGGCGCGGGCCTAGGCGAGTTCGGGACGCCGACGGGAGCGGAGCCAAGACTGTCAAACCCGGGCGGGGAAACAAAAAGCCGGTGAGGAGAGAGGGCGCGACCGGCCTCGCCTCCGCGAGAGGGAGCGCGGCGGGACGGGGAGCGGCTTCCCGCGGCCGCCCGGCTCCACGCCTCCGGGGAGGGAGCCCCGGCCCCCGCGGCCGGGCGGGGCGCAGAGGGGCCCCGCAATGGGGCCGGGGGCCTCCGCCGCGCTGGCCGCGAGGCTTCCCCCGGGCCCCGCTCGCTCGGACGCGCCGCCCCCCGCTTGGGGAGCCGCGTGAGGCGTGAGGGGGCGGGGAGGTGGCGCGGCGGCGGCTGGACCGCGAAGGAGGGGATTCGGCTCCCGGGGCGCCGCGGCCGCCCGCCCGATCCCTGCGGCCATGGAGCCGATACCTGTCGCTGCGGTAGTTCGTCGGCCCCGTCTCTCTCCGCCTCACCCGCGCGCCGTTTACCCTCAGCCCGCCCAGCAGGCTGCCCGCGCGCCGGACGCCGCCGCCCAAGACTGGCAGCGCCCGCGAACCGGCCCGAATCCCCCGGGCAGCGCCCGGCGCCGTCCCGCCCCTGCCGTTCGCAGGACCCGCCTTCCATTGGGCCCCGGAGCTGTCAGTCCGCCCCCAAAAGGCGCGCGGGCTCTTGTTCTGCTTGTCTGGATTGGTAGCTGCGAGCCGTTCATGCAAATGAGGCCCCGCCCCCGTCCATTTGCACCTCCGCCTTAGTGTAACCTCCGCCCCTTCACGCCAGCCCACGTGTCTGACCCTAGCCCTTTGTGGGGCTGGAGGGAAGGGATGGAGGAAACTGACCGCCCACCACCACCCTACACGCCGCATATACACCACATACACACACACACACACACACACACACACAAAACTACACACACCACACACACACACACCCCCACACACACACCACACATACACACACCTACACACACACACCCCTACACACTCACACACACACACCTACACACATACACACAACTACACACACCACACACACACAAACACCGCACACACACACCTACACACACACCACACATACACACACCTACACACACACCACACATACACACACCTACACACACAACTACACACACCACACAACTACACACACACACCTACACACACACAACTACACACACCACACACACACAACTACACACACACCACACACACACAACTACACACACACCTACACACGCGCACAACTACACACGCACACTACACACACACAACTACACACACCACACACACCTACACACACACCACACATACACCTACACACACAACTACACACACCACACACACAACTACACACACACCACACACACCTACACACACACCACACATACACACACCTACACACACACAACTACACACACCACACAACTACACACACCACACACACACAACTACACACACACAACTACACACACACCTACACACGCACACAACTACACACGCACACTACACACACAACTACACACACACACCTACACACACACACCTACACACACACACCACACCACACACACAACTACACACAGACCACACACACACTACACACACACACACCACACACGACTACACACAGACCACACACAAACACACACACACACCTACACACACACCTACACACACACACACACACCCGTACCCTTACTTCCACAGAAAGTAATGCCTGAACAAGCTAGCTGACTGTTACGAACCTTTCAAACAGATTCCATGTGAGTGAGACAACAAAGTACCTTAAAACAATGTTTGTGTTCTCCACCAGCACTCCTCCCCCAAAGGGTAGGTCTGCTGAGCAAACTCAGGTTCAGGAGCAGGCCGGGCTCCTCCCAAGTCCATGGCCACCTCTGAGTTGCTCCCATGGAGATTCCTGGGCCTTGGGGAATAACTAGATCAATCCCCTCGTTTTTTTGAAAAACAGAAACCTTAAGTCCCATATGGGACTTTATAGTTACCAATGGAAACCTAATGTCTCAGCTAGATTAGAAGCCGAATTTCCTACCTCCAGATCTGCTCTCTCCACTGTATCACCTTGGTCGTTTAGGTCTTTATGAGGAGCCAACTTGCAACTCATTCCTGCCTTCAGGAGGTGGGGCCTGCAGAGAAGACAGAGCCAACACTGAAACCTCCTCAAGGGCAAGGGCCCTGTCTCTGTGCCTAGAAGCTTCCCTTTGACCAGACGCCAGGAAGAGTCACTGAAACAATTTATGCATGCATTAATTCAGCCAGACAGTGCTGATTAAAACTACTCTGCATACCAACACCCATTGATTACGCATCTGCGATGCTTACTAACAGCAGGGAGGACGCACTGTGTGTGCTTTGTGCAGGTATGCAGAGGTGAGAAGACATTTTTTGCAGCCCTTGACAGCTTCAGCCTAGGAGACAGTGATATGCACATTACATGGCAGTACTCCTCCTGTTACAGGTACTGTGACAGATATCTGCATACAGCTCAGCGGAAGGTCCCGGGGAGTGAGGAATCAGCTTTTCCTGAGAGAGGCAGGGAAGGCCTCATTGAAGAGGTGATCCTAGAGCTGAGTCTTAAAAGATTGTGTTTGCCAGGTACAGGGATTTGGATGAGGAAGGAAAGGGACTCCCAGGCAGTGGGAGGATTACAGGAGCCAAAAGAATACAGACCTGGAGCCCGGCTGGTGTGGCTCAGTGGTTGAGTGTTGACCTATGAACCAGGAGGTCATGGTTCCATTCCGAGTCGGGTTTGTGGGCTTGATCCCCAGTGTGGGGTGGGGTGTGCAGGAGGCAGCCAATCAATGATTCTCTCTCATCATTGATGTTTCTGTCTCTCTCTCCCTTCCTCTCTGAAATCAATAAAAATATATACTTTTTCAAAATACAGACCTGGAAAAGCCTAGTAATTGAGGGAACAGCAAGGAGCAGTGTGGGCAAATCTGCAGGGCTGTGTGGCCATGTCACAGGCTCCTCTTCCAGGAGGAAGGCAGAGAGGCCCGGAGGCTGCCAGGCTGTGTTGTAACACACCGCAGCAAACAACAACAGGCCCTGTACATACCGCGGCAGGCTTTTCTTCCTAGGCCAGAGTCTGTGGGGAACAGTCAGTTCCACCGCTCCAATGGCAGCCTCACTGGCCCCACCCCCTCTCAGAAAACCACGCCCATCACGACACTTGCCCTACTCAGCATTTGGAAACATATAAGCTTGCAATTTCCCTAAATACTGCTGCGCTTCCTAATTCAAAGAGAATATGGGCTATGGCTACAGACACCTGGGTGTGGGCCTAATGTACAGAGCAG